TTCAAACTCTGCCATAAATTTTCATAGCATGAAGTTCCCTTTTGACAGTTTTTGTTCAAATGGGGTCCTGGAGATGACTGCTCATTTCAGATGTTATCTTGGATAACGAATGCTTGTGCTTTCAGGCTACTATGCACTTCAAGACCCGTCTATCCTTATCAGCTAGCTTTGACTTTCAGCCACTGTTGTGCTTTGAAGATGTCGTCTTACCCTCTTTCATGTACACTGTCATAACGGCTGATACCATACTCCTTGCACACCCACAAGGTTTGCTGTTTCCGTAAGCGATGCTCCAATTAAACGTGCTCCAACTATCATTCCTGTTTGGAACTCTGACAGGTCTGACATTTCAACTTCTCACAGACGGTTTGATCGAAGCATGCAATGCAGGTGACTGCTGTTGAGAGACTGATACCTTCCTCTTCATGCTCACTAGGTGGCAGACTTCTGTTGGAGGTGGCGCGGCTGTACTGCAGGTGTGAAATACGTCATACTTTTTCACGGGTGTTCGCATTACTATAATGCATAAATTATTAATTACAAAAATATTAAATATGCAAAAAATACAATAAACTTAAATGCATATGTACAGCATCCAGATGAAAAATTCAGAATCATAGTTTAATGCCTTTACCATTTATGTCGTTTTTCAACTTACAACATTTTCTGTTACCATGTTTTTATTCCACTTACCATTCCAAGTATTTTTCACCTCTTCCATATTCTCAATCCTCAGCAGTGGCCAAGAATACTGGTAATTTGACTTGTGTCTACAACTTGGTATAACACTGCATTGTTAGTTTTCATGTATTATTCTATGTGTTATGTGACTACAAGCCTGTTTCCCTTAAAAAGTCCCCACAAAAGCATCCCTTAGGACGATAGTTCTCATATGATCTGCCATATCAAATTAAGTTAAACTAAATCCTCAAAAAATCTTTCAACTCCTATTCTTCAAAAACTCCAGATGAAATGCACTGTGTGTGAAATCCCCCTAATTTTATGAAATTCACTGTATATGTGAATGCAAAAGAATGCAACATAATATTTATTGTGCAACTAAATACTGTTTAAATGTTTCCAAGCTTATCTTTTACTACTGTTTCTTTATTTGCATCTTTCTTGTTTCCAAATAAACTTTCAAGTATTTTTTTGTCCCACGCTTACCCATGCTTCCTTTCTGTAGTTTTTCCCTGCATCCTCAAACTTGCAACCCCAGGTTAGCCTTCGAATTTGAGGCCCAATGAAAATTCTTTCCAGTATTTTTTAGCATCAGTCAAAGATGGAAACTAGGCATAGTAAACTTATTTGCACAAGGCTTCAAAATATTGCTTCACTAGTTGAAATTTAATGCCAAGTGACAGTAGTAAAATCTTGTCAAGGTCAACTATTGAATTGTTTTAAACATTTTTATGCTGCTGATAAACTTTTCTATAATGGCAAATTTTTCCTTTTTTAAACACTTTTCAATCCAACTACTACATACACATAAGAAAAATGGGAACTTTGTGTATTCAGGCTGCTTACTAATAACACAACAAATCATTGCATAAAAGCCACCATATTTATCCCACTTCACTTTCAGCAAAAATGCATTATTACTATATGATGCATTTAATAAATAGAATATGATTACAGAATAAATTAATTTTCATTCTTGTTATGAAATAAAACTCATTTAAAATAAAACTGAACATAGTCTTTATTCTGAAACATTATGGTGATTACCAAAGAACAATATTATTTTGTTAAGAATAATGCAATAAAAAAGTTCCCATTCTGCAAAAAAATAAAAAATAAATAAATAAATAAATAAAAATAAATACAGATCTAGCTTTTTTTGATAATGTCTCCTCCTCGAAAAAATCGTTTTCCTACTGATGACAAATTTTTTTAGCCACTAACTAAGATATTTAACATTTTTATTTTATTCTTTTAAAGCAAAGTTCAAATGTCCATAGTGGTCAAATGGTGTCCACAATACTTAGCTGATAATTATTTAGTTTACAGAACCTTTAACCAATACTTCCATTCAGCTGACACGTCCATTAAGCCAACATATACATTTAACAGACCTGACGTTTATTCAACATGACATTTAGCTGACATGGATATTCAGCAGACAAGACATTTAACTGACACCACATTTAGCCAACAGTATGTTTAGCTCCCAATACATATATTTAGACATATACATATAACAATATTTTAGTAAAATTTGTCTATATTTACCCAACAACTATTTAATCTTTCTATCAATTACAAAACTGCTCAAATTCTACATAATTTCAAGCTTAAAGTTATTTTCTCAATAATCAGTAAAATTTGTTGTTAGATTCTTAAAGATTCCATCTCTGTTTTAATTTTTGGGGGAATTCTAGCATATCCCCAACATAGTTTGACATATATCAGCTTGACTGAAAGACATTGAAACTTCTCATCAGAAAACAAGAATTATACGTTTGGAAAGGATAAACAAAAACATTTTTGATAGCTAATCACAATTTCCCACAAAATCATAATTTTCACTGTAAATCCGCAAGAACTGCCCATACAGCTTCTTCAGCAAGTAAACTGAACTCTTTTAACACTCTCACATTAACAAAAATTTTGCTTTAGCTACTGACATTAAATTTCCAATAACATTTCCCAACATGTTCAAAATTCTAATATCTTAACTTTTTTCCCATTTCATTACCATTTTCCTTGACAGAACACATTACATTCATTTTCGCTTTGCTCTACATATTGCTTTCCATATAAAGTCATTTTGCTCCTGCAGTTGCTGAAATTTTCTTTCTCCATCTTAAAGTAGATGGACTTACAGATAATTGCTCTCAAAAGTTATTTGAAAATATCTGTCAATTAAAATTTGTATATCTGTCTGATTTAAAAATCTATACTCTGTATAGCATTAAATAAAAACTAAAATGTAGCACTTATCTGTAAACTATCTCACTGTGTACCCTGAAAACAGAATTCTGTTAGATAAATGTGGACAAATTTTACTAAAATATTGTTGCATGTTTTTGTCTAAATGTATGTGTGGACAACTAAATGTGCTTTCGGTTAAATGTGTTGTCAGTTAAACATATTGTTGGCTAAATAGCGTACCAGTTACATGTTCTGTTGCCTAAGCATCCTATCAGCTACATGTTCCATCATTTAAATATCCTATTGAATAAATAAAGGTGCCTGCTAAAAGTTCTGTTGGCTAGGTGTCCATGACCGGATTAAATGAGGTAGATGAAATATGCTTTATTTTACAGCCATCTTTATTTTTTATCAACTGCATCTAATTGGGTTCCCTTTTCAGCCATTTACTTCCTCTGTTAGATAATGTGGGTAGAGAATAAGAGGCAACACTTACTAATGCCAAATACATGCAAACTGGTGAGACAGAAAAGAGGGCATTCAGAAAAACTGGCTTAAACTAAGAAACTAACGTATAGTAAAATTGGTAGAGGGTGACAAAATATATTACTGCTCAGCATGTAAAATTTCTAGGATAAGTTCACTAAGATGATTATAACTGTGAGCTGTTGGTTTTAATGCTGAAAATATACTTTGATACTTATTGCTATTTTTGCAATTTATCCAAACAACTAAAATAACAAAAGGGACTGAAAATACTTTTATATTTTGTTAAACTCAAAGCCTCAAAGTCTGGTTTATTTTATGAACTGATCATGGTTTATAAAGGGCCTGCAATTTAATAAAAATGCAAATCATGCATTTTAAACAAAGTCAGAAATATTTTGTCACTGTACAGAATAGAACACAATATATCAATATATTTACAGATTTATAAGAAAACATTTTTTTTCACAAAACCCAAACTATGATGAAAAGAAAATACATCTGCATAAGAACAATTTACTTAAGTGACAGAAAAACAGCTGCTCAAAAATTACCTAAAGTCAGTTAGCTGTTACACATATAGTGGTACTAACTCTTTGTTTCCTTGAAAATGTATTTCAAAAACTTGTACAAAGGCATTAAAATATCATTAAGAAGTAATTCAAAAACTGTACTTGATGGACAATTTAGTTATGGAATCAGTATGGAAGAAAAAAAAAACAACTTACGAATTTTGTACATAGATATATGACTTTTGTGAAATTATATGTGAAATTGCAATTTTCTGCATAATATAGCATGAAAATCTTGAGAGACAATACTATGCCAAAAAAGTAAGAATACAGGGGAAGTCTATTTAACATTGAGTAAATCGCTATCTCGCTAATTTGGCAAGATATTACAAAGCTTTGACGACTAATTTTTGCCTCCAAATTTTGAGACATTCTGGTCCGGTCCCCGTCTAATTGTAGTGGATATTGTAATTTAATAACTGTAATTGATATTCTGTGTAACTGTAACCATATCTGGCCCTCATGTGCCTTCCAATAATTTCGAGAACAAGTACTAAAAATCTCGCGGCAGTCGGGAGAAAACTATGTAAGGCTGATGAGAGCATCAGTTCCTCAGTTGTCATCAGTTCAGCATGAGTTTAAAATACTAAGATATCTCCAGATCAGTTTCACTCTTTAAATGTGCTTTGCATTGCGTTCTACTAATTGAACTCTGTGATAATGTGAAGAATTGCATGACTATTTTCTGTGGAAAGTTCTAGAACTCTGAAGTGTTTCTTTTGATAATGCGAAGAATTACATGACTATTTTCTGTGGAAAGTTCCAGAATTCTGAAGTGTTTCTTTTGATAAAATGAATTTTATCAACCTAACATTGGACCTGTGTGCATTCAATCTATTATGAACCCATACACATGCAACAATACCTTTAGGAACAGTATCTCTATTCAAACACCAAAACGCATGCAGATCAAATGTATAATCATGGTTTGTTCTTTAATATCCATAATATCGTAGATGAATAGCTCAGGACAAAGAAAAAAATTTCCAGGCTATAAACAACTGAAAAATACATCAAGAAATCAGTGACATAAAATAAATCTCGTAATTAAAAAATTAGGGAACTTACTTGTGAGAACAGACAGTAAAAACAGGTATTCTGTATATGATATGATACCTGTCAATAAAAAGACTCATAAAAAATTCATGAAAATTAATTTTCTAAATACTTTTTTTTCTTTGAAACAAGATTATTTTCATAACAATCATTTTCATTACACGTAAAAACAACATTGTAATATAAATATTTGCTTTCAGATTCAAATACACCACATTTAATTTAGAAGTCAAACAAGAAAAATCAGCGCTATATTTGCAAATTTTCACAGGACTAGCTTCGATGGTTTTTATCAAACCATCATCCTCAGCTGCCAAAGCGCAAATGAGCGAGATAAGATATAGTGATTAGATCAGATAAGAATGGCTGGACAGGAGTTAAGCTACTGGTGCCATCTACTGATGAAACGAGAACTAAAACACAATTTTCTTAAAAGCTGAAGGAACACCATATTTACTTGAAAATAAAGCCCTCAAATTTTTTGTACCAAAACTTATACCAAAAAAAAAAAAAAAAAAAAGCCCTTCTTGGACTTTTAGATTCTCTCGCATTGGAAGAGGTCACATATGCCTATTTTATCAATACTTATTATTGCTAGACAGTAGATTAACATGTATTGTAATGGTCAAGCTAGTGAATGTCAGAAGATGGTTGAATGTGGGTAAGGAAGTTACTAATCACATTTGTTAACAGAACACATTTGGAGTACTTACTCTGTTAACAAATGTTGCATTCTTGGAAAGTTATGGAGCCTGTCAATTTTACCTAAATCCTAATTCAAATCTAAAATATATTGAAGGATATGGAGAGCCAGTTAGGTTCTGGCAGTTAACATCTGAGTCAAACCCCAAGCCCCACATGAGACATATTTTACCAAAATAACCTTGAAAATAAAAAAAAAGTTAAGAAACAGGCATTTAGGTTTCTTTTAGGTCTCCAGACCACCATTGCTCCAACAATGCTTTCATTTCGTTTGCACCACATACTACTGAAAAGCAAATGTTAATATGCTATTTTTCCTTTGGTACATGCTATTAGTTATATCTTTAGTGTTCTTTCCAACCATCCGTTTTACAACATCCCTGAATATTAGGCTGTAGTTAGATAAAATGAGTACATTCATTTCATCTTTTCTTTAGACTTAGACTCCAGACCCGAACTATTCCTAACTTGTAGAATTAGTGAAAAATTCAGTAACATTAAAACAATTAGCGAATGAACTTTTCTGAAACTGAAAATTATCTCATGAAAATTCCTGACCACCAAGAGAAAAAATATCATAAGCATTCAGTATTATCTGCTAATAATTTTTAAAATATTGTTTCTTGGCTGTGAACAATCCATAGTTGATGCAATTGATATCGTCAATGCTCATCAAGCTAAAGATAATGGTATAAAGCCTATTTCTATAATAAAAATAAATAGTAGTCTTACACATCAAAATGGATTTTCATTAAGACATCATCATGATTCTGGGCAAATGAATGTAAATTATAATTCTGAATCTTATAAAAACGAAGAAAGCTGTAAAATCCACAAATTTTAATCAAATGCATGAAAGGCCATGCTAAAATATCATTTAGAACACTGCAGCAATAATGCAATGCATATTTAACCAAAAGTTTAAAAAAATCATATCATAAATGCTTGCAATAAAATTATTTATGAAAAGTTGTTGAAAAAGCAAATGCTTTTCAATTACACTTGAAGAAGCTACGGGCATTTCTTCCCAACAACAAGTGTCGATTTGTGGGAGATATGTGGAAGAAGTCGAAATAAAAACTATTTTAACAGAAATTTTTTTTACAAATAGTACCTATAGTGTCAATGCACAGAAAAGATTAAGCCAGTATCATTATAGATAATTTGACCTGATATGCATGAGAAGTCAAACCTATGATGGTGCAGCAGGCATGCTGGGGCTATTCAAGAAACTTACAAGCTAAAGTGAGTAAAGAATTTTCTTCAGCACTCTGTGTGCATTGTGCTTCCATCAGTTTGGCAATTTCTATTGCATGTCAAGTTAAAGATATTTGTTTTGCACAGGAGGGATAGAAAATTGTTACTTTTATGAACACCCCAAAAAGAAATTATATTTTGGGAGAAAGTGTATTAAATTTGTGCTCAACTTCAAGTAGAGAATCTCCGAAAAAAGACTGTCCCACTGGTTGGTTAAAGACCCAAATCTATTGCAATTATGAATTTTCAATTAGTGAAATGTATTTACATGTTTATATATATGAAAAAGAATAAATTTTAAATAATCTTTAAAAGTCAATAAATAAATAAATATATGATTTAGTGTAAATTAAAAAAACTGCTTTTAGGAATATCTTTGACCTGATAAAACAATGCAAGAGGGCAAAATAAATATTTTTTATTGCTAGTTGATATTTTATTATTAAATTTTCATCATAAATAACACTGTAATGCAAATGTAATTGAATGCATGTCCTGTAATGTACTCAAATAACTCGATATAATTGCAGATATACGATTCTTAGATTAAATTCAGTATTTAAATGGAAAATTATAAATAAGAAAAATTGTGCAACACTAGTTTAGACATTACAATGGTGATCGCATACCCCCAAAATTAAATTCTAGGTATGCCATAGTCCTCATAAAATGAAATGACATATCAAAATGCTTAGATGATGAATACTTACTTCATAGCAACTATACAAATTTGAATGCCATATATTACCATTAAAAATTTTAACTACATATTACCATTAAAAAATTAATAAAAGTAAATAATTTCAAAATAATGCAAAAAATTTTTGTAAACACTTTTAACATAGAATGCTACAGTAATCCATGATTTTAATTAAATTTAAACAATAAAACCTAGTTTCTAAGCTTCAAAATTTAGTTTCTAAAAGAAATATATCTTTCACAAAGAATACAATGGCTTTCTAATTTAGGCAATAATGGCTCCCTGTCTTTAATGATTCATTTTTGATTAAATAAATGCTCACACAGTTTTAGCAGTTCTGAAAACATTTAAAAGAAAGTCAATTAATATTTATAAGACAAAATTGAATCAAAAATTTAAATGCAAACAAAAACACAATTAACATACCAGAAAAATCAATTGTGCAGGGTTCATTACATATATATGGTGGTGGTAGGTATTATACATTCAAAAGTATAGTAATACTGCTAATCAAATGCTGAAACATATGAATTTTAATAATATTCAGTATACAGAAAATGAATAAAAATGATACAGCAGTTCATTTAGCTACTGTGAAAAGAATCGGGGAAAAACTACCAATACAATGTGGTTTTACTGACTTCAAAATAACCATTATTCAATTGTGGACATAAAAAATTCACTCTCTGAAGAAAGGAATCATGTTTTGCTAAATACGACCATACACAGCAAGTTTAGATTGAAAAATACCAACATTATTTTACATCATGAAGTTTACTATATAAACTCTCATCAAATAGGGCTGTTTTTTAAAGCACAGACTGCATAATTTGGTACCTTCTTGTTATCCACAACTTAATGAAAAATAATGAGACAAAACAGTATGTCACCAAAATAATTGTATGGAAGCTTACGATGTTCCAAACAAGTAATTGCATGGCAACCAATATATGCACATGGTATGTGTCCATTTTGCTAGTGCACAATATCAGAGTTGTACAACACCTAATTTGTGCAAATCTCTGATGTTTTTTTAAGGGAAAACAGATGACTGCATATATGGGGAGAACAACAGTGCAAAAAAAAATGGATTTCTCAAAACAGGTAAGTGCTTTATTGCCCACATTTCTTGTTTTTTCAATTATATTGATCAATTTCTCTTGTATAAATTCTTAGAGTGCTACCATTTTGAAAATGGCTGTTGCCCTTATGTATTAGCTTGGCAAGAAATTAGTCAATAATGAGTACATGAATGCTTCCCAAAATTGGCAACAAGTTCACGAATTTTTGGTGCGAGTACAGGTAATCAAAAAATACCCATAATTCCAGTAAATCAACATTTTAATACTAAAGACTGTAAAAATATCTTACATGATTCCTTCACTAAAGCAATGTTGTATACGTTACCAATTCAACAGCAATCGTTCTTTCCCTCATCATTGTGATGCCCCTATTTACAAAACAACAGTGTCCATCTCTGCTTCATACAAAAAAGTTCTGTTCATTTCACACAACCTTTAATCTCAAATCTCAACAAGTTTAGGGCAATTAACTGGACTTATTAAAACCAGGTCAAATCTTACCTTCATCAGTGAAAAATAATCTCACATATCCTTAAAGAATAAATGAAGTGCAGTTCTTACAGCAGTATTTCAAAATTTATTGTAAAAATTCCTGAGACGAGTACAACTCATAATAAAGCTTACTTCTGAAACAGTGTCTACATGGCTATGTTTGGTTATGCATTATGCACAACAGTACACATAACTTTGAGCACAATACATATCTAAGGTACAAACAGGACATTTTTAGAAGATATTTGAAAAATCACTTTTTAATAAAGCATACTTTTATTCTTATTATTTTTCATAAGCAGATAGCAAATTGAAACACATAAAAATAACTAATTTTTATATAGAAACATATTTATAACCAGTTTTTCACAAGGACCAAAAAATGAAATTCAAATAAATAATTAAAAAAATATCCTATAAATGTAGAATTAGAATTATGTAGATGTTAAAAGAAAATTAAAATAAACAAGCACAAGAAAAACTAAAAACAAATAAAGAACATGAAAGAAGAGGAATGCAATCAATTACAATTTCTCTTCCACAAGAAAATTCTTGCTTATCTGTACCCAGAATTAGTTAATGAACCATTCCTACATATTTTTTAATCTTAACAATTCACCTGAAAATTCTGGTCCTCTCCAAAGCAATATCAGTAAACAATTTAATTTATTGTAATATATCGCCTAATACTTGCACAAAAGCTGCAAAGTAAAAAATAATTTATTATATATTATTTAGTACAATCTACTTTGATAAAGGTAGATAATATACTAAATAAAATATAAGTAAATAAATAAGATATATACAGTCAAAAGTCGTTACTTCGG